ACAACTTCAAAAAACTCACCATGCCTCTTATGAAGTACTTCAGACTGTCTACTTTGCAAAAAGGGGTCATTTGGAGGATATCTGTACTGTTCTGACATTCTTGGACCTCAAGAGATTGGCTGTCAGTACTTTAGGATTGATCAATATTCAGATATATCCCATAGTTTGTGAACTCTAACTTTCCTACAAACTAAAAAATACATCCTAATTTGGGTTATTTTCACCAAAGACATGTAGCAGAATACATATTGGCCTAAATTTATGAATAACATTTATTTGCAAAGTTTTATAACAGAAAAAGAAAAACGTGTTTTTATTTCAAAATGTTCGGTCTTCTTTTGTTAATTTAGCAAAAAATAAAAACCCCAGTGGTGATTAAATACCACCAAAAGAAAGCTCTAGTTGTGTGAAGAAAATGATAAAATTTTAGTTTGGGTACAATGTTGTATGACCGCGCAATTGTCATTCAAAGTGTGAGAGCCCTGAAACCTGAAAAATGGCTTGGGCAGGAAGGGGGTAAAAGTGCCCGGTATTGAATAGGTTAAAAGAATATTACAATAAGTTATATAATATTAAGACTCATGGTACCATAGGAGAAGATGAAGTCAGAGATAAAGAGAGAAGACTGGCATATTTAAAAAAGGCAGGATTACTGATATTAAATGAACAATTATAATCCCTAGAAACTGCTATAACGCTGGAAGAAATACATCTTGCATTAAAATGTATAGTAGCTGGGAAAAGTCCAGGACCCGATGGGTATACAGTGAGATATTATAAAAAAATATGAAGAGATTCTATTACCTAAGTTGAGAATATATATGAATGCTCTGGGAGGAGAGATGGAGATGAGGAGGGAATCCCTGCAAGCTCATGTGGTTCTCATACAAAAGGAAGGTAAAGATAATACTCACTGCTTAAGCTTTAGACCAATTTCCTTATTAAATATAGATACTAAACTATATGCAAAAGTACTGGCAAGTAGATTGAAGGACTTAATGCAGAGTTTGATTCATATAGATCAAGTGGGGTTTGTCCCAGGGAGGAGAGGGCACAGACAATGGTTTAAGATCTTTGTTCCTTATACAAAAAAGTAGGAAAGAAAAAACTCCGGCGTTGGCACTTTTGCGATTGATGCTGAAAAAGCATTTGATAGCGTACATTGGGGATATATGTTAGACACCTTAGAAGTAATAGGCATGGGACCTAGAATGAGAGAATGGATTAGGAAATTATATAGCCAACCCTTGGCAGCAATGGTAAATGGGGAATTATCCGAGTACATTGGGATGCAGAATGGAACAAGACAGGGATGCCCTTTGTCCCCATTGTTATATGTACTGTCTTTGGAATCTCTTTTGGCTACCATCAGGAATAATGTAGATATAAAAGGAATTTCGGTAGGAGAAATTGTGCATAAGGTGGCAGCTTCTGCAGATGACATGTTGTTCTCTGTAGGAAATCTGAGGATAACATTACCAAACTTAATGAAATCTTTAAAAGAATATGGAGAGATGTCAAAGTTAAAAATTAACCCAATTAAAACAGAGATCTTAAATATAAACCTTACAAATAGAAAGAAAAAAAATGTTACAGGAGGAATTCCCTTTTTATTTGGAGAGAAAGATCTAAAATATTTGGGTATAAAACTTACTGTTTCTTTAAAGAATTTATATAGATTAAATTATATCCCACTATTTAACGAGATTAAGTGTGAAATAAAGAAATTAGGAAGAGGAATTCAGTCATGGATTGGTCGAATAAACTTGATAAAAATGGTAATCGTTCCCAAAATTCTATATTAATTTCAAATGATACAAATTAAGCTCCCAGAGGCATATTTTAGAATAATTAAAAAAATTATAACATCATTTATATGGAGAAATAATAAGCCCAGAATAAGCTATGAAATCTTAAGTAGAGATAAAGGAAAAGGCGGACTGGGGGTACCAGATATGAAGAGATAGTATAATTCAGTAATATTGGCAAGAATTTTTGATTGGACACATAATGCACAGGGGAAAAGTTGGGTAATCATAGAAAATACATTAAGTCACACGAATTTAAGTAGAATCATTTGGTTACCTCCTCAATTTAGAGGATTAAAAGATAGCACAAGTTTGTTTACATGTAATGTTTTGAGAGTTTGGGACACTTCACACAAAGGGGGTGGGATTTTAATTCATTGTTAATGCCCCTAGGACCTACAGAGTTTTTTCCTCCAGGTAAAGAGAGTATTACAGGGAATTGGATAGAGAAGAAAGATGTTCAATTAAAAGATATAATGGTGGGAGAAGAGTTGTGTCCACTTAGTGAACTGGAAAGTAGGAGGGATATATTTGCGAGAATGGATGAATGACGGTATGGTTAACTAAAACATTTTGTAGGTAGTTGTCAGGGAGCGAGGAGCCCAGACACACAAGGAGGTGCAATTAAAGGTAGGTTTATTTACACAGAAACAAGGCAAGAGTCTATGCAAGACTGACAGCAACAGCGGATGACTTGGCAGTTCTCCTGCCAAGGTCATCTTCCAGGATAAATCAAGTCAAGAACCAGCGGGAATCGTAGCCAAAGCCGGGGTCAGAAGCCAGGAAGAATGGTCGCCAAAGCCGGGGTCAGAAGCCAGGAAGAATGGTCACCAGAGCCGGGTCAGAAGCCAGGAAGAAGGGTCGCCAGAGCCGGGGTCAGAAGCCAGGAAGAAGGGTCACCAGAGCGGGGTCAGAAGCCAGGAAGAAGGGTCGCCAGAGCCGGGGTCAGAAGCCAGGAAGAAGGGTCGCCAGAGCCGGGGTCAGAAGCCAGGAAGAATCTTAGCCAAAGCCGAGTCGGTATCCAGGAGAGCAAAGAGTTAACTGAACAGGAGCTTGCTGCTGTACAACAGACAGGACACGAATGCAATGGACAGCTGCAAACAGCAGACTTAAATGTGACAAGCCGCCACGTCCTGGGAGGAGCCGCAGAGGACTGAAAGCATAAAGGATCCCACAATGCTTTGCAGACCTAAGATGGATGCCAGCACATGGAGCAGCACAAGCCCTGAAGAAAGGTAGGACCTTGATAGTATCTCCTGCTCAAGGGCCCCTCCCCCTCCGCGGCTCACCATAAGGCTTCTGGGGAAAGCGGGCATGAAAAGCACGGAGGAGGGCAGGAGCATGAACATCCGCAGAAGGAACCCAGGAACGCTCCTCGGGACCATAACTACGACAATGGACCAGGAACTGCACCCGACCGCGGACCAACCGAGAATCCAGGATGCGGCTCACCTCATACTCCTCATGACTGTCATCCCGGATAGGACGGGGCCGAGGCAGTAAAGCGATTGCAGACCAGAGGCTTCAACAGGGATACGTGGAAGACATTGGAGATACGCATCCCAGGAGGAAGAGCAAGGGCATAGGCAACCGGGTTAACCCTGCGGAGGATGCGGAAAGGACCAACAAAATTTCGGTGCGGGCACCCGAAGGATTGAGGTTACGAGTTAACAACCACACACCCGATCTCCGACCTGGTATGAAGGAGTGGGCAACCATCTACGATCAGCCTGGAGCTTCTGGCGCTGTGCTGAGTCCTTCAAGGACCTCTGGATCTGCCCCCAAGAAGAACGCAGGGCATCAAGATGATTCTCCACAGCCGGAATATCCTGTGGCGAGAACAACTCAGGCAATACAGCGAGTTGGAACCCATAGCTGGCCATGAAGGGAGACATCCCGGAGGGAGGAGTTGACAGCCGAGTTCCTCGCAAACTCTGCCCATGGCAGGAGATCAACCCAATTGTCTTGATCGTCTGAGATATAGCAGCGAAGGAATTGTTCCAGGGCCTGGTTGGAACGCTCCGCAGCCCCATTGGACTGTGGGTGGTAGGCCGAAGAGAAGGAGAGCTTGATACCCAACTGGGAGCAGAAGGTGTGCCAGAACCTGGACACAAACTGGCTCCCACGGTCCGAGACAATCACCTTAGGCAACCCATGCAAGCGAAAGATCTTCCTGGTGAAAACCGTAGCCAGTTTTTGCACAGTCTGCAATTTCTTGAATGGAACACAATGGCACATCTTGGAGAAACGATCAATGAGCATAAGAATGACCGTATGGCCTTGAGACGCAGGGAGGCCCACAATGAAATCCATGCCCAGGTGTGACCAGGGACGCTCCCTATTGGGAATGGGTTGCAGAAGGCCCAATGGAAGATGCCGAGGAGATACATACGAGGCGATGTCGCAATGGAGAGATGTCCACCAGAATAGATGCGAAACGACCCAGAACAACTGGTACCTCCCCGGATGACCGGCAGTCTTGGAATTATGGTAGGTACGCAGCAGGTGGGTGCTCAATCCCTCAGGTACGAAACATCTACCAGCCGGTCTCTCAGAGGGAGCATCAGTTTGAGCCGCCAAAATCTGCTCCCCAAGGGGAGAAGTCAGGCTGGTACGAATGGCAGCCAGGATCCGATCTGGAGGTATGACCGAGGTCGGCTCAGAGTCCTCCCTGGACAGCTCAGAGTATTGCTGTGACAAGGCATCAGCCCTGACATTCTTGGAGCCAGGCAAATAGGAGACCACATAGTTAAAATGTGACAAGAACAGAGCCCATCTGGCCTGATGGGGCATCAACCTCTTAGCCTCCGAGAGATACGTCAGGTTCTTGTGGTCAGTGAGAATGAGAACCGGAACCGAAGAACCCTCGAGCAGGTGCCTCCATTCCTTGAGAGCCTGAATAATGGCCAACAACTCCCTGTCTCCAATCTGGTAGTTGCATTCTGCGGAGGAAAGCTTCCTGGAGTAGAACCCACAGGGAAGTAGGGGTCCATCGGGCAACCGACGCTGAGACAGGAGGGTGCCTACCCCTGTCTCAGATGCATCAACCTCGAGGACAAAGGGCAACCCAGGATTGGGATGAGACAGTATCGGAGCCGAAGCGAAGGTGGATTTCAGAGCTTCGAAAGCTAAGATGGCCTCGGATGACCACTCGTGGGGATTACTGCCCTACTTGGTCAGATCTGAGAGAGGCTTGGCCAGCGTGGAGAAGTTTCTGATAAACGTCCGATAATAGCTGGCGAATCCCAAAATGCGCTGAATGGACCGAAGACCACTGGGATAAAGCCCCTGCAGAACCACTGAAACCTTCTGAGGGTCCATGGAGAATCCCACAGCGGAAATGATGTAGCCCAAAAAGGCAACCTGAGATCGGTGAAATTCACACTTCTCAAGCTTACAGAAAAGCTCGTTCTCACGTAACAGTTGCAGCACCCGCTTGACATCCTGGATATGAGACTCCATAGACGCAGAGTAAACCAGGATGTCGTCCAAGTAAACCACCACGCACTGCTGCAACAAGTCACGAAAGACATCATTAATGAACTCCTGAAAGACCGCGGGTGCGTTACACAACCCGAAGGGCATAACCAGGGATTCATAGTGGCCGGTTCTGGTGTTGAACGTGGTCTTCCACTCGTCGCCCTCCTTGATCCGTACGAGGTTGTACACAGCCCTAAGGTCGAGTTTAGTAAAGACCGTTGCTCCCTTGAGGCGGTCGAACAACTCGGTAATCAACGGAATTGGGTAAGCATTCTTAATCATGATTCGATTGAGACCCCTATAATCAATGGAAGGCCTCAATTCACCCCCCTTCTTTTTCACGAAGAAAAAGCCAGCTCCTGCTGGGGAAGTAGACTTGCGAATGTGCCTCCGGAAAAGCGCATCCGCAACGTACTCCTCCATGGCCTGGTTCTCCGCAACCGAAAGTGGATACACCCTGCCACGAGGGAGGAGTGGCACCGGGTTGCAAGGCTATGGCACAATCGTATGGACGATGAGGAGGCAGAGCACTGGCGCACACCTTGTCAAACACGTCCAGGTACTCTCCATAGTCAGTGGGCAACACAGAGTCCGAGGAGGCACACAACACCCTAACAAGTCCACGGATGCAACTGACCCCACACACTGTGGAGACCACGAGAGAATCTCGGCCGACCGCCAATTAAAGGTTTGATTGTGCTTCTGAAGCCAGGGATAATCCAAAACCACGGAGTAGTGTGGGGAAGAAATTACCTGGAAACAGGCCAACTCCCTGTGAACAGCCCCAATAGCTACTTCAACCGGCAGGGTCTCGTCGTGGGTAACCTGCGGCGGTTGCAGGAGCCTGCCATCTATCGCCTCGAGAACCAATGGAGTAACTCGAGCCTGCAGAGGAATGGAGTACTGAGCAGCAAACGAACTGTCCATAAACAACCCGCCAGCACCAGAGTCTACCAACATCTGGGCCGTCACCGAGCCTTCCACCCAAGAGAGGATAACGGTGATTAGCGGTTTATCTTTGCGGGACACCGGGGACGAGGAAACACCACCCAAGATCTGCCCCCAACAGGATCTCAGGTGCGAGCGTTTCCCGGACGAACCGGACTGCCGAAAATGCCCACCAAGACCACAGTACAGGCAGCGACCCTCCCGACGCCGAGAGGCCCGCTCCCCCTCGGAAAGGCAAGCAAATCCCAGCTGCATGGGCCAGACAAGCCATCCCCAGGAGGCGTGGGAGGAGAGGGAGGAACGGGCGGGACAGAAAACGTAAGCGCCAATCGGTTAGGAGGCCTCCGCAGATGCTCCTTAAGTGAAGGCCTCTCCCTGAGCCTGGTGTCAATCAGGATTAGGAGGGAAATGAGTGCTTCGAGCTTCACAGGCAGTTCTTTGGCTGCAATCTCGTCCTTCAACGCATCTGAGAGACCATGAGAGAAAGCAGCCACCAGAGCCTTTGTTCCAACCCACCTCTGCCGCCAGGGTACGATATTCTATGGCGTAATTGGGAACGATCCGTGAACCCTGATGCATGGACATGAGCAGCTTGGCAGCAGAGGCGGAGTGAGCAGGCACATCGAATACCCTACAGAAGGAGGCAACAAAACCGGCAAACTCGTGAATCACAGGGTTATCGTTCTCCCATAAGGGATTTGCCCAGGCCAAGGCCTTGTCCGAGATCAGCGAGATTAGGAAGCCCACCTTTGACCTCTCAGTAGGAAAAGCGTGGGGTATCAATTAAAAATATATGCCCACTTGGTTAAGGAAACCCCGACACTGACTCAGCTCACCCCCAAAGCGCTGTGGAAGGGGGGCTGAACCAGTCATACCTCTGGGCACCGCAGGTGCAGCAGCAGATGCAGAGGTAGGCGCAACAACCGGAGCAGCAGCGGGAGCGACCACAGGAGTGACAACCGGCCTAATTGCACCAGGAGCAAGGTGTGCTGTGCGTGCAAGCAGTGTCTGCAACGCCTGAGCGAACTGATCCAACAAGAGATCCTGCTGATCAAGTCTGGCAACCAACATAGGGAGCAAGGGCGTACCTGCACCGTCAGGATTCATGGCATTCGTGTAGTGTCAGGGAGTGAGGAGCCAGACACACAAGGAGGTGCAATTAAAGGTAGGTTTATTTACACAGAAACCAGGCAAGAGTCTATGCAAGTCCGACAGCAACAGCGGATGACTTGGTAGGACAGAAGTTTCTCCTGCCAAGGTCGTCTTCCAGGATAATCAAGTCGAGAACCAGCGGGAATCGTAGCCAAAGCTGGGGTTAGAAGCCAGGAAGAATGGTCGACAGAGCCAGGGTCAGAAGCCAGGAAGAATGGTCGCCAGAGCCGGGGTCAGAAGCCAGGAAGAATCTTAGCCAAAGCCGAGTCGGTATCCAGGAGAGCAAAGAGTTAACTGAACAGGAGCTTGCTGCTGTGCAACAGACAACACAAATGCAATGGACAGCTGCAAACAGCAGACTTAAATGTGATAAGCCACCACCTCCTGGGAGGAGCCACAGAGGGCTGAAAGCATAAAGGATCCCACAATGCTTTGCAGACCTAACATGGAGCAGCACAAGCCCTGAGGAAAGGTAGGACCTTGATAGTAGTCTCCCATTGCCATTAAGAAAAAGAGAAGATTGGAACCCCTTTGAGCATTTATTAGATATGAGGAGATGGGAAGCACAGTGTCGCAAACATGCGCATCAGAGATGGACGCGGTTCAACCATCTTGGCGGAGGAATTGACCCTTCTGATATATGTTATTCCCTCATTCTCATTCCCCCCTCCCTTCCTGAGAGGCACAGTGACAGATGTGTGTGTGTGTTAAAAGTGTCACAGGCCAGATCCCAGCAGGGAGCCACGTGGTGCACCACTGCCTGGAGAACATGAGTAATTTCACACCTCGTTAAAAGAAAACAGAGCCTTCCCAGGAGTTGAAAAGGACTCTGGGCTAATAAACTTAACTCAGCATAGGTGACAGAATTAGATGAACACTTCTTAAATCAATTTTTCCCCTATGTTTCATATCTTGGAATATGAGAGACTTACATTAAAACCAGACATCTTGTCAGATGGGCGAGGAGCAGGCGAACCGCTTGATGGGTCATTCGAATTTTCTCGGACCATCAGGGGAGCCGAAACATAGAACTCGCGAACCGTGCCACATATAATTTCATAATTCATATCTAAATAATCCTCAGGATTATCTGCATAATAAAATACCTGCGGGTGGACTGTAGCTTGTGCAGCTGGAAAGTTATAGACCAGAATATGAATTATTATTATTATTGTAATATATATATATATATATATATATATATATATGAGAGAGAGACATATAGCAACAGCTCCTTCCTTTTTTCTACTTTCTATTCTATCTTTGCTTGCAATCATGCCTGGTGCAGCAGAATACAAGAAAATGAGCAAAAGTGATTTGAGTGCAGAATGTACCTCACGAGGATTGGACGTCGGTCGCAAAAATCGTGAAGATTTGATTAGTGATCTAGTGGAGTATGATATCCGAGCAGATCAGAACTCGGGGAACTTGAACATGACGGGATTCCCGCTATCTCCAATCCCAGTGGCTCAGAGACGGCCTCACAGGATGGGCATACAGAGACTGACACTGGAAGATCACTGAGTGGTATCGTCACACACACCGCCTGAGCGGGCCAGCACCGGAGTGTCTGTAACCAGCAGAGACTCTCCTCAGATGCAGGAAGCCCTGTAACGCCTCATGGAGACAGATCTTGAGAGATACCTGCGGTTCATTGAACGCCAAACAGCGGCTGACAGAGAAACTGTGGAACGCCAGGCTGACAGAGAAGCTGCAGAACGCTGGAGGAAAGCTGATCGTCGGCACGAGCTGGAAAGGCTCCAGCAGCGACCGGGTCAGAACCTCGGGACCCTAGAGCATAGGGACGCCACTCTGGCCGTGAGCACCGCCAAGTTTCCAGTGATGGAAAAGGATAGTGACATTGACACGTACTTACTGTCCTTTGAAAAAACGTGCCGTCAGTACCATGTGCCCCCAACCCAATGGGCTCGGTACCTGACACCAAAAAGGCCAGAGGGGCAGGATGACTACTATAAAGCTCTCAAAGATGCCATCATCCGGAAGTACCAGATGACCCCGGAAGTGTACCGCAAGCGGTTCAGGTCCATGCAGAAGGGACCTGGGGACTCTTACATGGATGTGGCGAGTCGCTTACGCACCACATTCCGACAGTGGACTAAGGGACTGAAAGCTGACTCCTATGAATCTTTGAAAGATCTCATGATACGAGATCAACTTTTGCACATTTGCCCGGCAGACGTCAAACAGTTCGTCTTGGAGAGGGAGCCAGCATCTACTAAAGCTGCAGCAGATCTGGCAGATACCTTTGTCCATATGCGGGTGTCTGACCCTTGCAAGGTTCCTACGAACAGCTGGAAAGGGGGGAAATCGCCCCTAGCAACCCCTCCTACGTCGGTGAGTCAAGCTTCCCCTCCGCTTACACCTGCAGCGCTTGGAGCCAAGCCATTCCCACCTGACAACCGCAGATATTTCACCTGTGGGAAAGCCGGACATCTCAGCGCAGTGTCCTGAGCAGAAGCAGACGACATCATCTGGCCAGCCGCCCAGCAACTCTTCTTCTGTGCTGTTCATTCGCAGGAAGATGCGGGTAACCCCCGCCAACTTGCAGCCACCCTGGGCAACCGGTGTCAGGGCTCCGGGGTGTGACCAGAGGTATGTGACTGACGCAGGGAAACGCAGGCTTCAGATATGTTATAAACAATATAATTTATTAACACTAACAATACATAAACGCAGTGCAATACTAAAACATAACACAGTGCAAACGAACCAAACCAAACCACCCACAGATAACAAAACATACAGTGCAAGCGTAGTCAGGCCGGCCGGGTCAATAACAATCGGGCAGGTAGGAACAAAAGGATCAGGCAGAGAGTAGTCAGGTCACGAGCCGGGTACAGCAACTAACGGGCAGGTAGGTACAGGGGGTCAGGCAGAGAATGGTCGGGGTCACAAGCCAGGGATCAAACAGGAGAAGTCAGCAGAGGTCCAGATCAGGCAGGGTCAGCAACGAATCAGTCAGACAGGAACAGGAACAGGGGCCCATAGAAAAGCACACACCAAGGCAGAGACTGCAGGTCTGGCCATCCCTTAAATACACCTGCATGATCAGTTTCAGGTGTTTGGCTGGCTGCAGGGTTGAGTCTCTGATTGCTGGGAGCACCCGCTGGCCAGCCCTGGTACTGCAGCCCACAAGGCAGGTGAGTCCCACCATTACTGGCAAATCCATTCCTGACAACCGGTCTGTAACTGGTTTCCGGGACACCGGGGCAGAAGTCACCTTGATCCAGCCAGAGCTGATTGAGCCAAGGAACCTCATCCCAGGAAGGTTCCTTACCCTCACTGGAGTTGGGGGAACCCGTTCACGCATACCCAGTGCAAAGGTATACCTAGATTGGGGTGCGGGAAGGGGGATGTGGGAGGTGGGGGTCTCCGAGGAAATTCCCACACCAGTTTTGTTTTGTTGGGTGCTGATCTAGGCACTCTTTGTTTCTTAATATGCCCCTGCCGAGAATACCCGGAAGGGCCCCCTGGAACTCTCTAGACATGCCAAGGTACTGTAGGCAGATATTGGGGTAATGTCTGGGCCGCCTGTGGATGGACAGAGGGAGGGGGCTGGGAATGGAGTGGGGCTACAGGATTCTCCATTAGCTGGAGAACGAGAAGAAATCCCTTTGCCTGGGGAGGTATTGAACTCATGTGTCATTGATATTATAAACGTGACTGTTGATAATGGTAATGATGACAATGGGAATAATGTCAGCAACGTTGATGGTAATGTCATTGATAATGTCAGTAATGTTGATGAGAATATTGGTAGTGCTAACGATAATTATGATATTCATGATGAAACAAATGATGCATGTTCAGTATTGGGGGTCACCCACAGTGCTATGAAGGGGGCAGAGGTACAATCTCTGGGGGCTGAGCAAAGGGAGGGTCTGGATAGGCCTGTCCCTTGCCCAGGCTCAAAAGATTATGCCTTGATAAGTGCCCAACCGTTGGCCTTGCATAGGACTGGGCAGCCGGCTGGGACTTGTAGTTCCACATACCAGGCAGCACTGAAAAGCGATTCCCAAAGGAACATCAGAGGTCAGCTAGCTGTGAGTTGACCTGCTAAGGAGGGTACACAACAGCCAGCTGGGACTTGTAGTTCCACGCATCAGGCAGCACTGAAAAGCGATTCCCAAAGTAACTTCAGTGGTCAGCTAGCTCTGGGTTGCCCCGCTGAGGAGGGTAAACAGCAGCCGGCTGGGACTTGTAGTTCCACGCATAAGGCGGCTCTGAAAAGTGATCCACAAAGGACCTTCAGAGGCCAGCTAACTGGGACTTGTAGTTCCACGAGTAAGGCAGCCCTGGGAAGTCATTCATATGGAGATTTCAGCCTATGGTTAAATGTACTCCCCCCTGTTGGGAAGTGTAATCACAGGAACAAGGAGGCTGGAATGACTGGCCTACTCCCTGGGGGCTGGAAGCCTGAACGCCTGTTATCTGATCTCATGTGTCATGGTGTGTCAGCAGGCAGACAAACCTATGTCCTAGGCGCTCAGGTCCTGGAGCTGCTGGGCATGCCTATGGAAGATGGTGTCTGGACTCAGGAGGTGCAGGCTGAATGGGCCAAAGAGGCCGAGGCAAGGATGCAGTCAGGAATCCAGGGGTCAGCTAGAGTCTGGGCATCCCCGGTAGTCTCGATCCCCAAACAGGATCCGATGGCCAGGCTTTTTGAGGACCTTGGAAAACTGAGCGCCAGCCCTGTGGTTGTTGCCTGCCCTGTGGTTGTGGCCTGCCCCATGCCCAGGAGCCATGAGGTCATGGAGCATCCAGAGGGTGCCCACTGTTTTAACATCATGGACCTGAGCAAGGGGTATGGGCCACCTTCTCTAACCCCAGCAGGCTCAAGACGAGCCAGCCTTCGCTACCCCATGTGGCTTGCCTGAATCCACGGGAGAGCTCGTTGGGGTTGAGAACACACCAACCACGTCTCCAGGGGTCAGGAATGACCTGCAATGCGAAGTGGAACTGAGTGCAGTTGCCCACTTTAGGGGCCTTGCGGTGTTCGGCCCTGTCTGGGAAGAGCAACTCGGGCCCTTGTCACTAATCAGGAACCAACTGCCTGTGTCTAGTCTGACAGTCGAGAAGGGTAACTGTCAGAGAGGCATGTCAGTGGTTCAGTTGTGGAACACACAGGTAGGAAGAGACCCCCAGAGGTCTGGGCATGGGGAGACTGAGGCAGTTGTGGCCTGGTCTGCTCCCCAGGCCAAAAAACAGGTGACATCAGTCGTGGGTACCGCTGGCTACAGTAGGACGCCTGAGTGCAACTATCATGGCTCAGCTGGCCCTGTGACTGACCTAGCAGACAGGAAACTGGAGGAACTGGTGTTCTCGATGCTAGCAGGTAACGAGGACTGTCCATCTTGGATGAGGGTACCTGTGGACACCCCTGGGAGGCGAGTTCCAGAATTCGCCTGTCCGGTTCCAGTGCACACAGGCGCTACTACCTTCAGGCCAGATGTAGTCCTAGGCCTGAGGAAGAAGGTGGGAGAGGGAAATATCCTTCTCTACCTCGACAAGAAGCTACATATTAATATGTTAGGTGACACCCCTCAGCCGAAGTGCTTTGTGAACAGGTGGGCACCCCGGCAGTGGCCACGGCATTCGGACAGCCACAGCCGCCTGGTGCCCACCCATGAACACCACTTGGTCGGCACAGCAGTGTTCCTGGGGAGAACAGATTCCTGTTCAGACGGACCTTGGTTCTCCCACAGTGCAGCGGTACCAGGTCGACCCACGGTGAACCTCTGGGCAGAGGTCAGTTGCATCAGGAGGGAACTTGTAGTTCCCTCCCATGCAACTACCTGAGGGGGAGGTGTCGCAAACGTGCGCATCAGAGATGGATGCGGTTCAACCATTTTGGCTTCAACCTCCATCTTGGCGGAGGAATTGACCCTCCTGATATATGTTATTCCCTCATTCTCGTTCCCCCCTCCCTTCCTGAGAGGCACAGTGACAGATGTGTGTGTGTGTGTGTGTGTGTTAAAAGTGTCACAGGCCAGATCCCAGCAGGGAGCCATGTGGTGCCACACTGCCTGGAGAACATGTGTAATTTCGCACCTTGTTAAAAGATAACAGAGCCTTCCCAGGAGTTGAAAGGGACTCTGGGCTAATAAACTTAACTCAGCATAGGTGACAGATTTAGATGAACACTTCTCAAATCAATTTTTCCCCTATGTTTCATATCTTGGAATATGAGAGGCTTACGTTAAAACCAGACATCCTGTCAGATGGGCTAGGAGCAGGCGAACCGTTTGAATTTGAATTATCTCAGACCATCAGGGGAGCCGAAACATAGAACTTGCGAACCGTGCCACATATAATTTCATAATTCATATCCAAATAATCCTCAGGATTATATGCATAATAAAATACCCGTGGGTGGACTGTAGTTTGTGCAGCTGGAAAGTTATAGACCAGAATATGAATTATGAAAAATGTTGGTTCCAGTTTAGGGTTCCGCCTGACGATCCCTCCCTAAACAGGGGATTGGTCTTTCACTTCAGAACCACCCCCTGCTGGGAAACTTTAAAACAGGCTGCCAAGCCTAAGGAACTTTGAATTGAAGACATCTCCCATTTTTCCATCGTAACAGCGGGAGATCAAAGCACCATTCTGCTCTAAAAAACTTGGATCTGCTTACATCAAAGGCTTACTGGCAAGTAACATAACCCTTTAACTTCTCTGTTATCTCTTTGCTGTGCTATGCGGTTTCCTGTATATGTATATATATATATCTTAGTTACATTTTCTCTGTAAATATTTTTATTGCACCTTTTGACCCTTTTATGATTATAGTGTTATAGCAATATTGCGAGTTTCCTCTTTCTCTGATCAAAAAGGAGGTGGTGGCAGTGTGGAGGGTTAGTTGCGTAATTTAACCTGACCCAGTAACAATCGCTCAGGTCGCAGGTACATAGATTGTAGTCCATTAGCTGGAAAATCTTTGTGCAGGGTGCGGCTGCACGTGGTATTGTTACGCAAATCACATAGCGGTTTTAGATCGGCCAGTCCTTCGAGTCAGTCACGAGTTTGGTGAGAAGGTCTGGGGTCTGGCACCGTGATCGTGACATATTGGACATCACGATCGTGAGATTGTCGCATATTGGTGGCGTTAATCTTGTGATCCGTGACACACGGGATCACGAAAATATATAAAATTCTCACAGGTTTAATCACGGCTAGAAGGCCACTATTTATAGAGAAGTGGGAAAGGGATTTAGAAGTAACTGATGAGGGAAAACAAAAGAAAATATATAGTTTAATTCAAGGGAATGGAAATATGAAGGAAATGGAAATGAATTATAAATGTTTAGTAAGATGGTATATTACACCGAATGTAGCGCATAGAATAAGTGGAGACAACTCACCTTTATGTTGGCGGGGATGTGGAGAGAGAGGTACAATGATACATTTATGGTGGGAGTGTCACAAAATTCAAGAATACTGGGAGGGCATAGTGAATATAATTCAGGAAATAACAGAGGTAAATATTCCTAAAGACCCTAAGACTTGCCTTCTTTTTGGTACCGAGTTTTCGTTTAAAAAAAAAAATATTAAAAAAAAATGGATTATTGTATTACTTCAATGCAGCCAAGGGACTGATACCCAAGTTTTGGAAGAAAAAATAGGCACTGAAAATAAAGGATTGGGTAGAAAGAGTGGAGAAGATATATAGAATGGAGGAACTTAACCATATGGAGGAAGATAAAATGCAGGTATTTTGTACAAGTTGGGAAAAGTGGGAACAGTTTAAAAATTCAGAGGTATACCTAGAATATGTGAAATGAGGAAAAGAAGGGAAAGGGGATAAATATAGTACAGTATAATACCAGTAATAGCTAAGGTTCAGGATTTCTAGAATGAAGTTAAAAATGCATAATCTAAGGGTGGGGGGGGGGGGGGAATAGGTAAGGGGAGGGGTAAAAGGTCACCGAGATTAAGGTTATTTCTGGGGAGTGTTATGACAGAAATGTGTAATGTATACTGTCTGTTTTATTAGCTTTTGTACATTTAATATGGTGAAAACAAAATATTTAAATTAAAAAAAAAAAAAAGAAAGCTACCTAAGGATTAAAGGATAAGTTCACCTTTTGGACAAAAATGGTAAATGCTAATTTTTTTGCTGTTAAAAAAATGTGCATTTATTGTTTTTGTTTATAGGAGCCTGTGAAGCATTGCACCA